TAGCCAAATGCCTCGTCATCTAACTACTGACGCGCATGATATAGATATGAAGAACTAGCCCAACAATGCGTCGACATCACCAGGGAAATCCTAAATAGTGAAATCTCTTGGAATCAAAAGTGCTACGGATTCAAAACATTGATAGTAGGGAAACTTCGATACATATATGAAACCGGATCACTAGCCTGGGAACGGAGCAGCGAAATGATATCCGCAGCAAAACGACTCGATTCCGTTATGAGGCAAGTTCTAAATGAATGTAAAGGAAAATTCCAAGGGACCTCGATTGCTCGGTTATACCTCGACAGAGGCAAAGGAGGATGTGGTTGGCCCTCATTAGAGAAGGAAGCCGAACTAGCTGTTATAAATACCTATATATATCTAAGAACGCAACAATCATTACGAGAAGTGTACGACTACCACGTCAAACTTGGAAAAAGAAGGAAAAGAAGTTTGGTAATAGATGGAGAAAGAATGCTTGAAAAATATGGTATGCAAATACGAGAAGGACCGGGAACTAGCTGGCTAATAATGCATACGCAAAATGAAAACCAGTGGCTCGAATGTAAAACGGTAAAAGAAATGAGAACTACTACACGAAGAATTCTCCACCAAATGTGGAATACTCAATTTCTGAATGAATGGCAATCACTTGAAGTAGCTGGCAAGATATGGCGAAACGAAAACCTGGATATAGAAAAATCTTTCTCATGGCTAAAGAGAGGATGGATAGGAATGAAAGTCATGCGAAATGTAATAGCCGCTCAAGAAAATGCTATTTATTGTAAAGGTGGGCCAATGAATAAAACTGACGATAAGTCTTGTCGGAAATGTGGTAACGGTAAGGAAACGGTTGATCATATATTGAACCACTGTAACTGCTGGCTCAAAAGCCTGTATATGGAAAGACACAATGCAGTAGCTCGAAACGTTTATTTTGTCCTGTGCAAGCGACACGGTTTACCACTTGTCCATTACTCTCATACTATACCAAATAATGTAGAGAATGAAGAAGCTATTCTTTATTGGGACACTCCAATATTTACAGAAGCCAAGATTATTCACAACAGACCAGATATAGTGGCAATAGATAAGAGGAAAAAGAAGGTTCTTGTCATCGAATTCTCTATCGCAGGAACGACAAGGTTAGCCGACCAGCGAGCAATAAAGATAAATCGATATAAGTTAAATTCCGTTGAAAGAGAAACACCAACAGAAACTCCAAGAGAAGGGCCCAACCTGATAGCTGAAATTCGGAAAATATACCGAAGTGATGTATACTTCTTACCTATCATTGTTGGACCATGTGGCGAACTCCTTAAAGGAACATTCGAAGCAGTAAAGAAACGGATGGAACTGAACGCGGGAGAAACCGAGAAACTTATCGAGCGTATTGGAAGAAGTGCCGCAGAAGGAAGCTCTAGAATTATCTCAACTCACCTAGCAACGTAACCCAAACGAAAAGCCACAAAATAACATCGCTGACAACTGCCCAAGTGTTGAAATGATATCTATCGACAACAAATGAGTCTAAGAAACCGACAAAGGACGAAACGATCGGATGATTTGGATGAGAGGAGATCGGACCAGCAGTATCATCCAAGCAGAGTCTCCAGATCATTCCACGGAATGATGACTGGGGGCGGGGAAGTGTAATAGGGGTGGCCGGACACGTTAAGGGTCCGGGTTCTCCTTGGGTGTGCCGTTAGATAATGGGTGGGGCGTAGGGTCTACCATCCAAGTGGTGGTTCTAGCAATAGGCGGTAATCCCGGATTGCAATCCGACCAACAATCTGACGCGCATGAGGAGGAGAACGCAATGTTCAGGAGGAGAACGCAATGTTCAGCAGCTGAGCGGTTGTGTCTCTGCTGCTCTCTGACAAGGGACGCAGTATGGACGACGCACCAAAAATAATACCAACTATTAGAGAAACGACGACAACGAAGGAACAATATATTTCAAAGTCGTCGTTTCCCTACTTTTAAATCTTGAGCTCTTATTTTTTTTTCAATATGATTATACAAATAATGA